CACAGATCCAAGGGCCAGCAAAAGACCACGTGTCACCATCAGAAGATAAGTTGCATTACTAAAAGAGTCGCATTTTGTAAACACGATTTCAGCCAATTTTGGAAGCACACATCACAGATCTGGGTTCGAGCCTTAACACTTTGTTGATTATTCCCCAACCTTTATATGATTTCCATCGCAATCAAATATAAATATGCCCTATTAATCAAAATATGACGATCCTTGGATAAGGTTTTAAGATAGCACCAAGTCGAATGATCAATTCCAATGCAAAGCATTAAAGACTCAACATTGACAATGTGATAGTCATCCATGTGGAATCTCCATTAATAGATATTCGTTGCTTGCCTTGTTTTCTTAACAGCACCCATGTATTTTTAAATGCCTCCACATATTATCTTGTGAGACCAACTACTTTATTAATAAGAAAGAAATGCAATCCGCTCTATTCTAGCCATGATAATAATGTCCATATCTCGTTTATTACTCATGACTAAGGATAATTAAAGTTATTTCTTTCTTTCATTTCACAATGACAACGCTTTATGATCAACAGGTTATAAAAACTTGATCTTCAAACTTTTTTCCATTTGAATTTGTTACGTCTCTTCCAGCGAGACTCTAACATGGCCACATGGAAACCACAAAGAAAGTAAATCTAGGTCTACACTCCACATCATTGTACTCATGTGTTGGGGTTGAACCCATGTGAAGGGCCGAGTCCTCAAAGATGAGGCAAGGCAGGTAGAGACGCTCCAGATGATCTTCCTTACAAAATCTTCTATTTATTGTTGATGTGACAATACACTGCAATAGCCACTTTACCAAGTCAATATGTCAAGTCAGGCCTAGGGCTCCTAAAGGTCATAACATTAAATGCTCTGAGTCTAGGACTGACCAATTGATACGTATGATAAGGTGTCTCAATCGCTAGGATGAGGCCACGACTCTCTTTATCCAATGATTCTTGCTCATCCATTTCTACTATAAAAGTTCACACATTGTGCCATTCACTAGTAATGTAGATTTATGCTCTCAACATACAAATTTTGCAATCTATTGCTCTCTATAACCCTGAATTCGAACCCTTTTTATTTAAATGGCTCATGTCTTAACACATCTCATACCCAAATATTATTCTTATAAAAGCTGATTTGATTGTTGGAGTATGCACGGCTGCCTACACTACTATCGAGATTGGCCTCGTGTTTTAACAATTTGCCCTAGTGTGCATAAGGAGCTACGTGGAAGTGAGGAGGATCCGAGATCTATTGGCCACGTCACTTTATAAAAAACGAGGTCAACGGAATTAATAAATGGATATAATTAAAATAATAGACTTGTCACACATATATGCATTAGTTAAATAAAATAGTGTATACATTATCAACAATTGAACTTAAGAGTATATTATATCACTAACACAAGTTAGAATCCATTCGAGAAGTAGGTCATAATATTTTATTTTGTCTCCAGACTAACGAAACCTCTCCCCTCCCCCGCCTCGCATTCTCTGCGATTGGTGCTTGGTCCTATTTATAACACAAAACCCTCAACTTTATGGTAAGATTCTTTCTTACCTTATTCTTTGCTCTTTCTGTTCTTTTCAGTTTCCCTTTTTTCAAGTTTCAAAATACTTAATCTGAATCAAATTCTCAACAAAACATGTTCGAAAGTAGTACCCACTCATTTGTTAGCATATAATCACATTTTTGTATCGTGTCTATTTTAATATTTTTCATTCATTAATCTTAATGCCATTATTTTTATAATATTTCCTTTTATTAAAGAGAAAGTTGTGTGAATATTCTTTTAACCTTTGTTTGGGTTCTATTTTGGGATAATATTTTTTTAAAAAAATGTGCGATTAAAAAATAAGAAAAAAATTTATATTTGTTCGTAATATTATTTTATTGAAATTTGTGTGACGATTACTGGAAATAAAAAAAAGTTCTAAAAAATGTATTCTTTGTTTAATGGAAACAAAGACTAAACAAATTGAAGTTAGAAAATGTTTACTATTTATGATTTAACAATAGTTTGGATAATACTCATAACATCCAAAAATAAGTAGTTGTACGAGTTAATTTAATTAATGATCACTGAATTTTATTATATGTTAATACTTGCTCATCAAAATTTCAAATTCTTTTTCTTCAATAGTACTAGTAAGCACACTCTGGTTCCGTAGTATTTGACAAATCCATATGAGCTCTATTTTTTTTTGTGAAAAATGAATTTTTAAATGATATTTTTTGAAAAATATGTGGTTAAAAAGTTGAAAATGTATAAGCCACCGTTTGAGCTATATTAAAATTTTCATTTTCATTTTTCGACTTATTTTCAACCACATATTTTTTAATGAAATAATATTTTCCATCACATTAATAATTTTTCATTCTTTTTAAATCACACATTTTTCATCAATCTACGATTTTAAAATACATTCTTCCAAAAAAATTGTGGCTCAAATAAACCCTAATTTTAAATTTCATGTACAAAATTATTTTCTTGAAAACATGTGATTAAAAAGAAATTTGATTTTTTTAAAAATGTGATTAAAACATCAACTATACGTACGGTACCATGCCAATAAGTATCCTTTCTTTAACTTCCCCCACCCCACCTTCTTCTAAACCTCTCTCTTTGGGTTTGTCCAATTATTTTCTTTCCATAGACAAACAACAAATTCACCAAACAAAAACCAGAGTAGTTTCTCCTTTAAGCTATGCTCAACCAAAAATAGCATTTCACACAGATTCTTGGTCTCTTAATGTTATGACCCAATGTTCCATTTTTACTGTCTATTCTCTCCACAGGCTTGACTGTCTTTTTCTTTATGGATTTAGGTTTGGTGTGCTTTGATGGTTCTATGTGTTCGGAAACAAGTACTAAAAATAGTAATGATTTTTCTTCAGAAAATGCTACTGAGGCCAAGAACAGAAGGCATGGATCTGGATTTCTCAAGCAGCAAAGGCTTGCTGCTGACACTGTAAATCCAGATGATTATAGGGATCTTAAGGTGGCCAAAACTTATAACAATGATGATTTTTCAGCTGCTGCCTCTAGGGATATGCTGATACATCAGAAAATTTCATTTTTGGGATCTAATGGCAGCAATTTCCCTCAAGGCCAGCAAATGCTCAGCTTCTCTTCACCGAACTCCCAAACATTGCCTTACTGTCAGCAGACATCATGTGCCTTGGGCAAAAACCCAGGTTAGAATTAAAAATTGTCATTTTTTTTTTTTGATTTGTTTTGTTACACATTCTGCATATATATGTTTTTATTTGCTGTTCTGATAATATAGTTTTCATGTGTGTTTGTCTTGGTGATTTCTCAAGTCTTATCCATGGAAGAAGAGAAGAAAAATGTTTTATATATTTTTTTCCTCTCTCTCTCTCTCTCTCTCTCTCTCTCTATTTAAAGTGGTGAATTGTGGAAAAATGAAAAATGTGAAGTTCATTTGAAAAAAAATGAAGTACAGAAAATATTGGGATGTGAGGAAAAATGAGGGAGAAATGGCCCAAGCTTTTAAAACCTAGAATTTTGCCTCTAATTTTTGTTTCTCTTAGGCCACGTTTGGCTAAGCCTGTAATTTTTTTACTTAAAAAGTAAGTTCCCTTGAAAGAAACAAGTAAATTCTTATGCCCCTTTGATCCCAATTTTTCTCTTATCTCTTTTTTCTTCAATTTCAGTTTCAATCACACACATAAGATCCACAACTTTTATTCATTTCATCAAACTTTTTTCATAATAAACTAAAAAAACTGATTTTTAGCTAAACTAAACAGAGGCTAAATAACTTTTTTGTTGCTCAAACTTCTGAGACTTAATTATCAAAATATAGTAACTTATTTCACGGAGCATTTGGATGATTTAAGTATTTGAACGTTTGTTCACGATTCAGGCTTGAATGGTGGTGGCATGCATGGAGTAAGAGGGTCGATAACTCCATCACAATGGATAGAGTTAGAACATCAGGCCTTAATCTACAAATACATAGCAGCAAATGTGCCCATTCCTTCTTATCTTCTCAATCCCATAAGAAAAGCCCTTCAATCTGCTGTTTGCTCAACCTTTCCTGGCCTAAGACCCAATACTTGTGAGTTTTCTTTTTTCTACTTCTATTATGTTGCAATTAGTGGTGATTTGGCTAAGTAAATTCTTTTTCCAAACATGCTACTTTTTCTAATTATAAGAGTAAAAGTTACACTGTTTCAACAGTGAGGCAGAAATAATTACTTGTTTCAAATGCTGACTTTCTGGTTCAAAAAGGATGAAATGTGTTTTATGATTATTTTGTGAAGATCATGTGTATTCTTTAAAATTTTACCATCGCTCAGTTCCTTTGGATGTATGCTGAACAGTGGGGTGGGGCGGGACCTTCCATTTGGGTTTTTCCAACACTGATCCCGAGCCGGGAAGATGCCGAAGGACTGATGGGAAGAAATGGCGGTGCGCGAAAGATGCAGTTGCCGACCAGAAATATTGTGAACGGCATATGAACAGAGGCCGTCATCGTTCAAGAAAGCCTGTGGAAGGCCAACCTGGCAGTTCCGTCTCTGGAGCGACCACCACAGTTACTGGCAAGCTGACACCATTGGCTTCATCCACATCACCATCAGTGGTGGCCGGAGGCGGTGTATCCAACAGTTTCAGTCTCTCACATGACCATCATCTCAATAACTATCAGCTTGGTTCGAGTAATTCTTGGTCTGCAACCCCTCAAATTAACAGGTCGATTAAACATCACCATAAAGTCATCATTTCATGTTCTCACTTCAAAGTTCCAACCTTGTACTGAAAACTTCAATGTTATGTTTTATGTTTTGGCAGGGAGGATTAAATAGTACTTGACAGTATTAATGAAAAAAATAAGTTAAAATTTTGTTAATTATACTATCCATTCGTGTCCATTACTATGTACCGAACATCTACACTAAATGTATGTATGAAAGTGTTGTCTTTTGGCCTAATAATTTTTTTATTTTTTATTTTCTATCAGGAATTTTCTCGACAATGAAAATGCTGATAAAGGATATCAGAATACAATGAGTCTATCCATGTTATCTTCAGCATCAAGTCTGAAAGAAAATCAATCTTCCACTGCTGAGCTGCAGAATCCATATAAAGAAACTTCTCAATCAGAGTTCAGATTAGTCTGCTCCAGTTCTTTGCTCAGCCCTATGAACGAGAGTTCTTTGCTTGTGAACTGCGGAAACTATGGTATGTGTAACAATCTGGACGATAAGGAAAGCAAATCACAGCATCCATTTCGTCAGTTTACAGATGACTGGGCGAAAAGCCAGACTGAACCCTCAGCTATTTCATGGGATGATGTTAGGACACAACTGTCAATGTCTATGCCCATGGTCACCTCTGACTTCGTGTCCTCTACCTGGTCTCCAAAAAGTGAAAACCTCGAAGTCTCTTTATTGAGAACGTCTCAGGACCTAAAAGCTACACAAATGGGATTGGGAGTCGGTACCACCGTTAGTGAACAAAGCCATAGGCAAATGAATTGGATCCCTATTTTGTGGGACTCTTCTGGGGGTGGACCCCTCGGGGAGGTTTTGAATAGCACTAATAACAGCACGGGGGACTCCAAGAACACGACAGCTCTCGAACTTATGAAAGAGGGCGGATATAGTAGCCCACTATCTACGTCATCTCCCACCGAGGTTTTACAAAGGGGATCTGTTTCTAACAGTAGTGCAGGGGAGTAGCTGAGAAAATCCTATATGAGAATGCAGCAAGATACGGGTTGGACGTTAGAACACGGATGAAACTGATTCTAGTTTAAAGAATCCATCCTACCCTGCATCTGTGTTGACAAGTGTTAAAATCAATTATCTTTCCAGTTGAATTTTGTTAACTCTTTCGTAATCGTTTTCTTTACCAGTCGCAATGGTTTGCTGTTACAGTAGTTGAATATTAATGCGAGAGTTGTAGATTTGCTCATTCTGTTCTCAATTTGATTCTATATATGATGTACGTATTTGTTTTTTCATTGAAGACTGCACATAATTTCTAATGGCGGTGAAATTTAAATCTATGACATCACATACGCATGGTATGTATTACAATTTAGTTGATGTAGTTTAATATAGTATCGAATTAAACAGAGTTTCGTAAGAAGTGAAAAGAAAAACAAATCTTTACTATAATTTTCTATGATTTATGGGTTTATTGAGCTGAAAGCTGGAGCTGAACAATTCTAATTGTCACCATCGTATGGACCATACAAATCTTATTCTGGCCTCTATAAAATCTTCTTTTATTGCTTGCTTTTTGGTGGTCCATATGCAATTATTCCCTCTGGGAAATTGTATTGGTGAAATTTTCAAAACATAAGAAAATTGAATGTTAGAAAAACATGAGGAAAAATCCATTTGTACAACACTCTCACATTAGGGTGGGAGTCCTACTAGAATAACTCTTAATGTACACGTACTCCTCTTACAATGGTGTGTGGGCCTGCCATTTTTTAAATTGCGGGCCCCATATCATTGTGAGAGGAGTGTAATGCATGATGTATACCAAAGTGTGTACATCAAGTATTGCTCTTGTAAAAATTACAACATCCTAATAATTGAACAAGAAACATTGTTGAAAACATGATTAGAATCTACAAACAACTTGTACATTTGTAGTAGTTTCTGTACTCACTCAAGTTTCATTTGTCACTATATTGCAATTTGAGTTAACTGAATCACCGTAACTTTTGTCTCAAATTATCACTCCAATTATGTCGAATTGATTGATGTCAAACTCACGTGGATATTACCAGCGCACATGCTCCGCGAATATTATTGGGATGCCAACTCAACACTTTGGACTGTGGTGGTGATTGTGTTGGTCAATTTCTATTTTAATTCATTCTTCGGTTTTTGTTTCAAAATCCCCCATTTGCGATTTAAAATTTACGCAATTAAAGGACCTTTTTTTTAATTCTTTGAACCAAAATACTACTTAATTATATCATTGTAGATTTACACAAATCAAATATTTGATTTTGGAGTAAAATGTATAACTTAATGACCAAATTTATATAAATTTGTAGTTTGAGATAAAGTGTAATGATTTAATAGAGACAAATTAAAGTATAATCACCTAATTGAAACTCGAAATGCACATCGATATTTAATGAAAAATAAAGTCCATTTCTATGTTCAATTACTAAATTTTATACATCTTACATCTTCCTTTTTCTTGTAAATGGCACAAATCCCCCCTATTGAATCTCATTAGAAAAGAGGATGGGCAGCTTCTGGTTATCAGAAATTTTCGTATTTTGAATGAATAGAATATCGTTATCAATTTCAATGAGATTCAATTAATACCTGTACAATGTTTTTAAAAATTTAAATTTCACTATATATAGCCAATGGCAGATCTAGGAACGTTGATGAGCTAGGGAAGTCGTCGACCATTGACTATTGATCATTGACAGTCAATGACATCGGTAACGAGATTGGTTATTAATATTTAATCAAATAATATTAAAAATTATTCAATCTATATGTAAATACACTAAAACGTCAAAATTATATACATATGAAAATATAATTTGACACAATTCAAAATAATAAGAAAAAATACATGATACAACCTCACTTTGTAACCGGAACCTCAGAAGGGTCTCATATTTTGAGACCGATGCAAGATTGTCTTATTCATCAAGTTGGTAGGGTTAGTGAAAGCTATATTGTAAACATTATCAAAGAGGTCGACATGATCTTTCAAAGTCTTTTTATGCTTCAAATCCCTAAAACAAGTCTTATCGAAAGTTAAAGGTAAATCACATATTAAATATAAATTAAACTTAATTTTAAACAATCATCAAATTTCAATTTTCAACACTAATTTATCATTTACCACAAATCCCAGACTTCCTTTCATTCTTATTGGCTCATCCACCACCCTGCTAATCAGCAATCCACCAATCACAAAATGCTAATATCAACAATCCAGTCAAGACAACACACACATGACCAGGAGAATTTTCAAATTAGTTGGTCAAATGACCCATTTGAGTTTTTATGTAAAAGTCCATTTTGCCCTTAATAAAATGGATTTTTATTGCAAAACATGTCCTCAAGCTTTATAGTTTTTAGAAACTAGTTTTATTTTTATTNATGAGAAATTAATGGGTGCCAAATATAAATTAAACTTAATTTTAAACTATCATCAAATTTCAATTTTCAACACTAATTTATCATTTACCACAAATCCCAGACTTCCTTTCATTCTTTTTGGCTCATCCACCACCCTGCTAATCAGCAATCCACCAATCACAAAATGCTAATATCAACAATCCAGTCAAGACAACACACACATGACCAGGAGAATTTTCAAATTAGTCGGGTCAAATGACCCATTTGAGTTTTTATGTAAAAGTCCATTTTGCCCTTAATAAAATGGATTTTTATTGCAAAACATGTCCTCAAGCTTTAGGGTGCGTTTGATTGCAAGGGTGGAAAATGGGTGGAAAGAAAACGTTTTATAGGGAAAAGTTTTGCCTAGAAAATGTTTTGGAAAGAAAATGATTTCAAGTGTGTTTGATTGGTATAATTTTCCACCCGAAAA